TTTAAAAGTTTAAGAAGTGGATGTGAGACATAAATGAGATTAAAGCATATTTGTATTTTAAACTATGTATATTGACCATCAGGTAATAATTCAAGGACGACTTAAGTTGGTATCTCCCCATCAGAAATTAAAATGATAATGTGCTGCATATGTGGGAATGAGCATGGTTGGAACAATTGCAAATACATATTACATTTGTAAATGCTAACCATGCTCAAATAATAATTATTGTCTATATTTAAGTTTGAAAGAGTTTTAAACTTATAACTCATTGAAATGCATGTCATAACTGTTATGACATAACATGTGTTTATTGTTAGCAAAAAGTCATAATCCATATGAATATAACCTAACATTCAATTGTAATCAATAATAGTTAAAAACAATATAATAACGATTCACTCACTTCTGGATTCAACGCGCGATCATTACATCCAATGGTTATGTAATGAATGTATTATTGAAACACCAAATCAAACAATGAATGAATCAATACATTAGCGATAGTGTTGTCAGTCATTGACAGACAATCATATGATTGCACACAATATGTAAACAAAGCGTACGTTAAGTCATATCACTATTCATACCATTAAACGTCTTATTATTGTCTTATTATTACATTGAATGTGCAATCAATGGATTCAATGTATATTAATATAGCATTTGTGTTGATTATAACCGTTTCGTACACTTTGGGTGACAATCAAAACGACAATTCAATCGATCACTCATTTGATGCAAAAGTAATGAAAATAACATAAAATGCAAAACAATTTCTGTTGAATACATTTCTCACAACTCTTTGTCCATTCATTTCAGTCTTCGAGACAACAATTTGAAGAGTTTTTAACCAAATATGACAAACATTACAGCAATCATACAAACGGTTTGACAAACATTTGGTGTTATAATAAATGGCATAATTATATGTTTGGCTTTTACTATCATTTGTCGCAGAAATTGAACGAAGATTTAAGATATTTGAGAGAAATTTAATGACAATTAAATTACTGAATGACAATGAGTTGGGTTCGGCTGTCTATGGCGTCACACCATTTGCTGATCTCAGCCCTCACGAGTTCAGACAACTCCACACCGGCTTCCGTCCAGATCTTCACACCCGGCACTCGTCCGCACACATGAGACCAATCAAAGCGCAACAGATCCGCTACACTGATCTGCCCAAAGACTTTGATTGGAGAAACACTTCGGGTGTGGTCTCTGCGGTCAAAAACCAGGGAATGTGCGGTTAGTGGTCACCACATGTTGTATTGGTTTTCAATGTATTAATAATGTATAAATCGGTGAAACAGGCAGTTGTTGGGCGTTTAGCGCCACCGGCAATGTTGAGGGCGTCGCTGCCATTGTCACCAAGAAATCGGTGTCGCTTTCAGAACAAGGTTTCACTCATTCATTGTTTTGATGAAAATGAATATTAATTATATGTAAAACCGGCACAGAATTGGTTGACTGCGACAAACTAGACCAGGGATGCAATGGAGGTCTTCCCACCAATGCTTTCAAAACAATTATTGATTTAGGTTTTAGTGAATTGTTTTGTTTTATTTGTTAATTAAACGACTGTTTTGTGACCAAAAGGTGGGATAGAGTCTGAGTCTGACTATCCATACGATGGACGCAATGAGAAATGTCATTACAATCGTTCGCTTTCGAAGTTAGCAATTGATTCGTATGTAGTTTTGCCCGAAGACGAGACAGCGTTAGCGCAATGGCTCTATAAATTTGGTCCCATTTCTATCGGCATTAATGCAAATGCGATGCAATTCTACTTCGGAGGAATATCTCATCCCATGAAATGGTTGTGTAATCCCAATAATTTGGATCACGGGGTACTCATTGTTGGCTTCGGTGTGGGAAAGACTAAAATACTACACAAAACACAGCCCTTTTGGATCATCAAAAATAGTTGGGGTCCCTCTTGGGGTGAAAAGGTTTGTTTCGCTACTTTTCTTATTCTTTATGAACTAAAGTTAAGTTACATGTAATTTACATATAATTTACGTGTAATTTTAGGGCTATTATCGTGTCTACAGAGGGGACGGCACTTGTGGTCTCAATCTGATGGCATCTTCCGCATGGATTGACATCCATTCGAGATATTAATTCAATAATATTTTGATAATACTCTCCATTTTATAACTAATACTTTTGTTTGGTATTTGAGTTTTGGATTATATAACCACAATTTTTATCATATTTTAGTTGAAATTATGTTATATTATTGAATAAAAATAGTTATAAATATTTACTAATATATAGATTTGTATTGACATTCATTTTATGAATAGATTAAATAAATTTTAAATTACTTTTGAGTTAATATTTAATTTATTTGTAAAGTTTTACATTTCTATTCAATTCAAATACAATAATTGTATTCAATTATTAAACAGATTGTAATGTTATTTGCATTTATATTATGAAAACACTTGTATTGAGCGCAGGTTTTACCAGACAAACACAGGGGCATAATATTTGTATAATATTATTATACAATTATAGCTACAATTGATGTTTTATCACTCGTTCTGAAGTCTCGTCTCAACATTTTAAATGTTTTTTAAAATAAACATTTAAACAAAATGTCATGAATTACTTAAATCTAAAGTAATTTCTAATTAAATTTGTTATTTTCAAAAAGGTATTACAGTTACATAAAGTGCACAACAAATAGAGTGTAGGAATTGATAGTAAATTAGATTTATGTGACATTTGCTACTCCCTTACGCTGTAATAACGTATCGAAGTTAGAAAAATAAGTTTCTATTTGCTCTCCCATATGACAAATATGACTGGAAGTCAATTTCCCTTATATTTCCAAAACGCGACTAACATTAATAAACCAAGTATTGAAAGCATCACATCATATATACATGTTATGAATCAAAATGACCTTTATATACATACGTGGGTGCTTTTTCTTTAAAAAATAATCTAGTCTTGCAAAATAAACGTAAACAAATATGTAAATGATCATGTTCGCACACAATATTTGAGAATATATATGACTTGTAAATTATTCAATATAATACACGCGTACACCGAAGTGATGACATTTTAACATTTAAAAATCATTTAATCAAATACTGTGTTGGTATTCACTGATATACTGAATGCATTAAAAAAGGGAAAATGATCACAAACATTAAAATTATGACCGAATTTATATTGTATTTTTAGCCATACAACACACTATCTTAATCATTTAAAATCAGCGTGATCCATTTTAATCAAATCAAGGCATTCATTAAATTTAATTCTTTGTATCAAACTTATACTCAACTTTATTCGTGCAATAACTCGCATATGGGGGCAACTCTGGCGCTTGCATTTATGAATAATATGCAGATAACGGGACATATTCTGGGTTTATTCAAAAATTAGTCTGTATAAATTAATTATTGATTAATTTGATACGGGCCATGGTGTACCAATTTTGGCATACAATATTCAAAATGTGCAATAACTTAAATTTTTAGTGAGTTGACATGTGTATTAGAATTTCATCAAGGATATTGAATTTACTATAAGAATTGTGGTTTAATGTGCTTAAAATTCATTTTAGATGCTTGTCATTTAAAGTGTGCTTATTTAATTTTAACATTTAGCATTGCATACAAAAATCCTCAAAACCAAGTTTTAAAAAAGTAATTTTTCAAACAACACTATCTTTAAATTGATTGAATATCCAAATGGACTCATTAATTACAAAACTTTTATAATGTACTAAACATTAAACCATAGAAAATATTATTTTTAATAATTATTATTATTATATTTGTAGTAAAAATTCTATTGTTTAAAATATATCAATTCAAAAATATTTTTTAAAATGGTTTATTATTTAGTGTTTAATTAATTAATTTTTTACTTAAAATAATGTAGTTTGTTTTATTTATTTAAAGAATTTTAATACATGTTTTATTATAAATATTCAAAATGAATAATTTGTAATACAGTATTATTATTCAGATAAAATGAGATCAAATATTTTGCTTATTCTATATCTTATTTAATATTTATTGCCGTATTTTGAATATAAGCTCATACTTAACCATACAGTATACTGTAGTACTTAATATAGCATATTATTTGTATTTAATATCATTAAAAATATAATGGAAAAATAATGTCCAACACTTGCTATAATGATTTTATGTAAATTTAAGTGCTGTTTATATGCATTAATAATTGATGGCATTTATAAGTCTATCTAATATTAAGCATTCGTATAGCTATAACATCTAGTGATGACTATTGAGGATAATTCCGTAAATTCTGATCCTTTATCGAAAGAATCACACAAAAAATATGTAGGAATTGATAGAATTAGTTCCAACCAAATGGACAATGAAATCGATGGCATCTTTTATGATACACAACAGCCAGAGATAGAGACAACGGTTAGTATTAAACCAATTCAAATCAATACGTGTGAAATCAATTCAAATAATAAGATACCAAAAAACCAAAAAATTGAAACAAATAATGAAAATCATTCAAATATTACTAAAAATACAATCAATTTTAATATCAAAAATTTGGGAAATATTAATGACAAAGATATTGTGGATCCAATTGAGACAAACCAAATGACATGTTCAATGAGTTCAAATGTTTGCGATAATATGTTAAATGAAATGCCAACAAACGTCGACAACATATTCAATGAAAACAATGACAATAATATGTGGATTGAAACTAATAGTCAACAATTCTGTCTGAGAAAAGATGAATCGTTGGCAACGGATGAGATAATACCGATTCCTAAATCATATGATTCTTCAAATATAACCACAACTCTTGGATCGGCTGAAGAAAGTGCGGTGAATGACAATTTTATGAACACTCATATTGTTATAAATAAAGAAACGAAATGTTTGTCCAAAAATCAAAGAAATAGAAAAAAGAAGAAAAATAATCAAAAAGTGAATGATATTAAAGCATCGACTGATCCAAGTATTTGTAAAAATGATGAATTGTTTGTTAAAGATATGGAAACATTAAATGACAATCAAGTAGTGGTTATCGAAAAGAATACACAAGTTTCTGATAACAAGACTATTGTCACCGATTCTTATGATAACAACACAATCAGTGGTGAAATGGAGAGTGAATTGAGTTCAATGAAATGTTTGCATCCAAACGAAGGCAATGATCAGAATTTAGAAAATATTCATCACAGAGAAGAACATTGCAGTGATTTGGAGACATCGACTCGTTTGAAAAGAGACATTAATGATGAAAACCTATACGACGCCGACATCTCTGACAATATAAATAATGGTATTGAAAGTGACAACGAAGACAATGTTTGGTTAAATGATATCCAAACTAGATTTGGACCAATTCTGGAGAGAGACAAACTCGAAACGAATGACAAAGATTTATTATCTATACGTTTGAATCAGTTGCTCGAACTCTTGTCTGAAGTCAATAATATCGATATAACAAAAGCAAAACAATTGAATTCTCGAAACAAAGTCAGAATATTTTGTCAAAAAGAAATTAAAAGACTAAACGAGAAATTGATAAAAGTATGTAAATTTATAGAATCATATCATTTGTAACAATATTCTTAACATTGTATTTATAAATAACAGTTAAGAAGCGAATCGCCAGAACTATTGGCTACGAATAAAGACACTCAACGGTGAGTACAAAAATGTGTAATTATATAACACAATGATTACAATTTGACTATAATTTGCACAAAAGGGCGCCGAAACGAAATCTATTAAACTACATGAGCCGAGCATTGAGAGCGTCGATACCAATTCAAGCCCTAATGTTCATACTATTAGGCGCCGCATCGCTGGTGCCCACCGTTGACGAGGACTACAGCTGTCAACTTATGAACAATTTGTTGCATTCATTTCAACCGATGCTCGACTACCCCAACGGTCCGCCACCCGTCTGACCATATCATGGCCTTACAGTCAACTCTCACAATATAGTCATATATAGAGTACAATCGGCTCTTTAGTACTAATCATGCAATCCTTACAGTGCTTACAGTTTAGCTGTGATTTGATATTTAACTTATATTATAATTATATTATTATATAGTCTTCTCCTGTGATAACATATTTAATATAATTTATGTTAAATAAGCCTTTGATTTATGTCTTCAAGCATTTTGTTATATTTAACCTTATTTTAGTAAATCATATATTTTTCATATATTCTGTTTAAATATTAATTACTTTCATATTTAAAGTCTATATATTTTAAGTATAATAAATGGTGTGATTTTCAAACTTATTTTCGTTAATATAAAGTATATATTATAATAATATGTAATATTATTGAAATATTTAGCTATTTTTAAAGTGTATTTTATATTAAAATAAACTTTTTAATTGTAATCACTATATAAACCGATATATTTCTTGCTATAAAATAAATACGGACTTCTGTCACAAAGTATCAAATAGATGTGGCATTAAAATGATAATGTGCTGCATATAAATATGGGAATGAGCATGGTTGGAACAATTGCAAATACATATTACATTTGTAAATGCTAACCATGCTCAAATAATTATTATTGTCTATATTTAAGTTTGAAAGAGTTTTAAACTTATAACTCATTGAAAAGCATGTCATAACTGTTATGACATAACATGTGTTTATTGTTAGCAAAAAGTCATAATCCATATGAATATAACCTAACATTCAATTGTAATCAATAATAGTTAAAACAATATAATAACGATTCACTCACTTCTGGATTCAACGCGCGATCATTACATCCAATGGTTATGTAATGAATGTATTATTGAAACACCAAATCAAACAATGAATGAATCAATACATCAGCGATAGTGTTGTCAGTCATTGACAGACAATCATATGATTGCACACAATATGTAAACAAAGCGTACGTTAAGTCATATCACTATTCATACCATTAAACGTCTTATTATTGTCTTATTATTACATTG